AGCCAGGCCAGCCCATGGATTTGTAGATATCTCCACACAGCCGAATTCCTCCAATAGATTGGCCAATGAATCTAGGTGTCCCATGCTTTTCAGGCAAGCGCCGAGAAGTCAATGCCGCACAGCAACCTCCATGAGAAGACACAATCGCAGGGAGGTCTAAACGAAACCATGTCCGAGGGGTTTACTTTTTCCATCTCTACTTGATTTGGAGATCACTTAATTGAATTTTTGGACTGGCATCTACATACGAAGGAGGCAGAGTTTTGACCATGCGTCGTCCAAACTTCTTTTCCAGAAAGGTCCAATGGTCAAGTTATTCTCGCTTTCCCAGACCGGTTAACGTTGTGCTGTCCAAAGGCCAGTTTGTGAAGTTTAAGGGCATCGCCATTAGTAACAAAACGTGGAAAACACACAGAACATTGCAGCTATTGAAACACTGATTGCTTGGGGGAATTTGCTGGTGGAGTGAAAACAGCGAGCCAAACATAAGAAAGCAATATGTCTCCCCAAAATAGATTGTTTAATCACAGATTTACTTCAAGGTTTTCCACAAACACTTTTGATCAAAAATAGACAGCTAAATTCAGATCCGATAGATAAAACTCTGTGTGACTTTGTCGAAGGAGGTCTATTGAGTACTCCGTCTTTCCGTGCAACTGCTTGCCTTTTCCCCTGATCTTTCCTTCCTTCTTGCACACTTACCGTCTGTTGCTTTGCCGCGCTTGCTGCTTCCGAAACACGTCTTTCGTGTACACGGGTCTAGAATGACGCTGTCAACAGTAACCAGGCATTGTACTACTTGTCTAAAAGGACAACCTGGAGCGGCCAGAGCTGTTTCTACTAGCTTCTTGTTACTAGTAGCTTCTTGTTTCTACTACTCGTGATCTCATTCGGTCGATGGGCCACGGCCGACGATCCACACTCTGCCTTGGCCGCTGTCTAAGACCTGCACAGACGGAGCAGGAGGTGTTGCTATATGGGTGATTTACATATTGTTTCTTGGCCAACACGCAAGAAAAGAGAAAAGAGGTGTCTGGGCCTTATCGATAGGGCTCTATTTTCCCTTTAAAATCCCCGTGCCGGATGCCTTGGGTACATTCGATTCCCCGAACGCCTCTGCGGGCGATGATGTCTAGTCTAAAGAACTTTGAAGGAAAATTCATTAGTCTCCATAAACATAAATGAAATATTCGCTATCTTTTTGGACTGAGTGCATGCCTGCCACTGGTTGTGAAGTCCTCCCACTTGGCAATAGCCGTGAAGAGAAGGCGAGCCGAGTAGAAACACGTCAATGCGTCATGATTCATTTGGGACGGTTGCCGGGGATTCGGCATATTGGGGGGTCTTTCAGAATCCGGTTCGGCGGGAAAATAGCGGCTGCAGGTCTGTGAACCGGACGGGGCCGTTTAGGCACTCTTGATTGCCGCCCTTTGTTCCTAGTAGCCTTCTTGTTGCTAGTAGTAAGGTCAGGAGTCCCTAGTAGCTTCTCGCTACTAGTAGTAAGGCACCTTGCTACTAGTAGCTTCTTGCTCCTAGTA